TCTCTTCTCCTTTATAATAAACCGTTGTAGTAAGTATCAATTTGAGAAGGAAACTTTGCTTATTCTGTAGGGACCTGATGGTGCCATAACTGCATCAAAGTACTGCTACATTGGAGGATTTGATGCAACAAGGTGAGTATTGCAGAAAAAAAGTGAATAAGTGACTTATAGTTTTTTACATGCGCATAGTAATAGGTTGTTACTTTGTTTCGTCCCTCTATTTTTATCAGTGACTTTCCAGTTTCCAGGCCTTACTTTGTCTCTGAGAGTCTGGTCTATTTTTGCACCTGCATGACCTTAACATGTTGCCGAGAAGCTTTTGGTTTCTTTTATCTTCAACTGATGTTTAGAATGGCTTCTTGTTTGACAGCAATGTTGCTGCTGGACGGTTATTTGGTATCCCCCTTCGCGGAACACATTCCCATGCTTTTGTCAGCTCATTTATGGTTGGTAATGAAAATTTTGAAACTGTAGCGCTATGTTTCTCCAACTTTGTTTTTGTGAGAAATGGAATGTGTTCGTTGGAATAGTGAACTAAGATATAGCACCTGATTCGTGGATGACCTAAAAATCATTATTCTTGTGAAAAGAAAATTTGGGGACAAACGTGAAGGTTGTGATTGAGCAAAATCATGGCTTTGTACTTGATTAGCTGGTTAGGTGCACCCTGGCCACTCTATGGGCGGTTTTATGAATTTATTCATGACGTTTTGGGTGGTGGTAACATAATTAGAGTTGTCACTGCTCACTGGCTACTCCCGTTCATTTGATTTTGATACTATTTTTCTGTTAATTAAGCTGTTTTCTTTCTTTTTCTTATCCTATTTGCAGAGTCCGGATGAAATCATAGAGAAATCACTTAAGAGCGCTGATGGCTCAACTATCTGTGAAGATTTTGTCAGTTTGGTCCAGACCTGGTTAAACAAAATAAAGGTACTAGGCATTGGCATTCTAGATTCTTTCTATACTTGGCTTTGGGTATTCTTATATTTTAGTCCTACAGCTGACTATTGGTGCATGTGATTTTTTTTTTTGTGTGCCTAACATGCCAGGCTGTGCAGTGGTCCAAATCATCAAATGGTGACACTAATCATAGTGAGCTAACAGCATTCACATCATACGCATTGGCCTTCCCTGACAATTTTCTGGCTCTTGTAGACACATATGATGTGAGTAAACATTTCAATTGTAACCTATTTTGAGTATTTTCATTTCCTTAAGTGGTGCTTGTTAATGCTGCTTCTTTACCAGTAATGCGCGTTTCCTATTATGACCACTTCTTGAAATTTCGTTAATGTGAGCAAAAAGAACCTACAAGCTTCCGTGAGAGAACATAATTAATCAATATCCCTTACACAAACAGAATAAAGAACTGCCCTAAATGCTATCCACTCATACTTAAGCTTCTTGATCGGAATGTTAAATAAGACATGAATTGATATATCAATCAATTAGCTTGCTTGACGGAATACGTGGATTTTAAGAAATCATACATCTCGTAGATGGAATTGTAAGAATGTATGTAATGTTAGCATAGAATGTTTGTTTTGATGGAATTGTAATGTTGAACCTCATACAATTGGGTGTTTTGGTGCAATCTTTGGATTCAGGATACATGATAATGTATTCTGGAAACATATGGGTGTTGATATATATGGTTCTCGTACCAAATTCAGACTAGAAAAACAATGAATTGTTAGCGATCATGATTCTTAGGATCACATAAAACAATCCTGGGTTACCAAAATACACCTTATATGTTTTATTTTACTGCTGTTGTCCTATATTTGACATTTCCTAACAAGACATGTGCGGCAACATCAACAGGTTATGAGGAGTGGGATCCCTAATTTTTGTGCAGTGGCTTTGGCACTGAATGATCTGGGGTATGTATAAAAAATATGCAATTCGATGGTTGTAGCAATTATTATATGTATCTGTTTATTTGAACTGTAACTTTATTTGAAGGCGTTGAAACATTATGGGATGAAAAATAAATTGAATTTCTTGATGATGTAAAGCACAATTTGTAATATATACTCCACTTGAACTTAAGAAGTTGATGAAGACTGATGAAAAACTTTACTCGAAACAACTAAAATTCTGATTTTCCGAACATTGTTTTTAAGAGAGTAAAATATATATACTCCTGAAACGTGATTGTGGGGTGTTGAACATTATCTTAAGCTGCTAATGTCTCTAGTTTCATTTCTTACAAAACTAATATATATTCAACTGTATTCTGCACATTAACCTTTGGGTTTTCTCTGTCATGTTAGTGTTTGTGCACAAATATCCTCTTTGGATTTTTTTGTTACTATGTATACTTGCATAATAGTGCGACTGTATTTGAGGATTTTGCAGATATAAAGCTGGTGGCATCAGACTAGACTCTGGTGACTTGGCGTATTTGTCTTCTGAGGCTAGAAAGTTTTTCCAGTCCATTGAGAAGGAATTCTGTATTCCTGGTTTTGGGAAAACGAATATCACTGCTAGTAATGATCTCAATGAGGAAACTTTAGATGCTTTGAACAAACAGGTATGATGTTCGAGTTCCACATTGAAATAACTCAGGTCAGTTTAAAATAATTGTGAGAATTTTCAGTCTGACGAGGAGTGACAATGTCAGGGGCATGAAGTAGATTCATATGGAATTGGAACCTATCTGGTCACATGCTATTCTCAAGCTGCTTTGGGTTGCGTCTTCAAGCTTGTTGAGATAAATGGCGAACCTCGTATCAAACTTTCGGAAGATGTCTCAAAGGTGTGTGATCTCCTGCCTATCCCTAAACCTTTCGAGTAGCATCTTCTGTTTGTGAGCTTATTTCTGGCTTCCATTATTGCTGCGGGTAGGTTTCTATACCATGCAAGAAACGGAGCTATAGATTATATGGTAAAGAAGGATATCCACTGGTAGACATAATGACACGAGAAAACGAACCTATTCCCAAGGTAATCCACTCCACTAAGCAGTTCCCGTGCTTTTCTCAAATCTATTATGGTGATTCTGGTGAAAGGGGAACCAAGCTCATAGCGGTTAGTTAGTGACTTTGTTGTTTTACCAGGTGGGAGAAAGGATACTGTGCCGTCATCCTTTCAATGAATCGAAGAGGGCCTTTGTTGTTCCACAGAAGGTCGACGACCTCTTGAAGTGTTATTGGCCTGGGACTTCAGGTAACTTCTTAGCTGTCTTGAAAATGCTAGAGGCAGGGCCAGTCATCAGAGTACGGTCCGGTCCAAGTTTTTCAATCCATTGTTTTCAGGCTGTGAATATTACTAAACTGGATATTGTTTGCTTCATGGAAGGTAAACCAAGGGTAGAGCTGCCATCTCTGAATGAGACTAGAGAACGATGCATCAACCAGCTGGAGCAAATGCGGCCAGACCACATGAGACGGTTGAACCCGACACCATACAAGGTAAAATCCCTTTCTCCTGGAAAATGTGCGGACCTTCATCGATATTCATCCACTCCCTGTGGTATAATCAATCACTAAGGATCTGCGTCGAAACTTCTGAGCAGGTGAGCGTAAGCGCGAAGCTGTACGATTTCATCCACTTCCTATGGCTAAACGAGGCGCCTGTTGGAGAGCTGCAGTGAGCAGAGAGGGAAAAGTTGGGCTACTGGGGTGTGTACAAAATGGGTACATACGACTTGGTAGAGTCTGGAGTTTTGGCAGCGTCCACAGTTTCATATATTTACCATATAACCGAGGGATAGATGTACATTGCTACGAATTGTCTTTTCGTACCATGCCTTCGTTTTGATTGTTCGTTTCTTTGGGATCGGCTGTTTTAACTTGGTTTTTTCTCTAGTTTACTACTACAATCCCTTGTTTACTTACGGTCGAAGGAATAAAATGTGTACAATAAGCTCCGATTTGCCCAATTGGACCAACAGTTACATCCTCGACGATATGGTTTTTTCAGCATGTGCTCACGTCATTGGATTGTTGGGGTGAAATATCGATCTAGACATTTCTGACAACGACATTGCCGTAATTTTCTCCAGCCGCGGATTGGACAACCAAAGTTACGAGAGAAACCACAGGAGAAAGACTGGAATTTCTACTAGGCTACAGACTTCGGCCACTTTGATCTTGAGCAAGGCCAAGCATTGAAACCACCAGTAGTAACAATCAACAGTACATGATTTACGGACGATAATTACAACAAGAGACCAAGAAAAGGAATTGATATATTGATTTTTCCAAACACAGAAAGCAAGAACAGGGCAGCTATGAAGGAGTGGTGCAGAAAGTAGAAACAAGCTTCAGCCAGTGAAAAGGAGGTTGTTAAGCTGCACCCAACCATATGCACACCTATTCCTTATCTTCTCAGCTGTTGATACTGCAGCCTCCACTGCTCCTCGAGTCTTGCTTGGTTCTCCTCTCCATTGCCATTATCTTGCTCACCTCACTCTGTTGCACAAGTTCACCACCAACCCACCCAAACCCCGCCTTTCAGCCAAATTGTTCAAAGGACAGTTTCATCATCTGTGTCAGGTACGACCTGGAGTGCATCAACAACACCAACCTATTGCTGATCTCTTGCCTTCCCTCTGATGTCCGGATTGTTCAACTCCATCCACTTGTTGGCATTCTTCTATAGACCCAGCATTTAAGACAGTCACAACACAAGGGAGATGAGAGGTGGAGACTATAAAGTTCGATTACAAGCAATAGGTGTGTTCTCGAGCAGACTATACAAGATACAAAGACATGTATGCTATGTGCTACTTAAATACGTTTGTCAACTGAGGTAGCTAGTCGATAAGCAGGCACAAAACTGCTGCCTTATCCTGTTGTGAAGGGACTAGACTTAATCATGTGCTCGCAGGATGTTCTCTAGAGGGGAAGCTTTTGTTCCGACTTTCTCGTCCTGCTTAGTGAATTCCTAAACCTCAAAGAGACAGAAACACCAGAAAGAAAACACAAACAAAAAAGGGGACAGAAGGTAATTCCTCAAAAGTAGAAGAGGTTACCAATTATTGAGGGAGTTCACATTGATGTGCTGCTGTCTGACTGAACCCCAGAACTATGGCTTCCATCATCTGAACCTCGAAATTTCTTGTACCTTGGAATTGGGGTAGGCCAGCCAGAGACCATAGGCTGGAACACCATCCAATCGTGTAGATGCGGGTTGAGTTTATCTACAAACTCCAACTCCCCCCCACTTCTCAAATCACAGGTGAAGATACTCTCCACGTGAGAATCGCAATATCGTAAGAAGACAATTTCCGGCTTTTCTGGATGCAAAGCACATATCATGAACATTTTAAGTTGATAGTAGTCACCCATGCTTGATGATATCTTCACCAACCCTTCACATTGTTTCCTCCAGGACCTTCGATCTTCTTCCAATCTCCAAACGACCGCAGAACGGACACGAGCAGCAGGTGTTTCAGGAGGTTTAAGTTCAGCAACATGCAAAGCACCTTGTGAGACCATAACTTCCCACGTTTCTGCTAACATTGCAGAAACATCTGTATAAGTCCTGGGAGGTCTGTCAAGGAAGAAAGGATTAAGGGCACCAAGCACACGAGTCCGGTCCCGGGGATAATATGCATAAAACAACTCCCCGTTGCACAAAGATGAATGTTGAACCATAAAAACAACGCCTTGAACAACAAAAGCATCCTTAGTCCATTCTCCGGACTCTGAACAGAACACATCCACTCTCATAGATGCCCCAAACACCCATATAGACACCACCCGGAATCGAAATTCAGAAGAATAAACAAATGTCTTGCCGTCTCCCAGATCTAGATTAAAACTACTACGGGGTTCGCAGACTAACCTTGAAGCAATTATACCGCTACCCGTATTAGCTTGTTTCTTTCCAGGCGCCAAAGGAATGGCAATCCATTGCTTTGTAAACGGATTGCAGACCATGTAGGATCTGCCAAGCCAGCAATCGCTGGTATCTGAATCCTTAAACCCGCACAATACCAAGTCCTTGAAGGAATCCAAAATTCCAAAATTCTCCGGGACTTCATCGGGAGGCACGGGGAGAAAGCTTCGGATGACCGATTTTGGGTCGTGCGAGGGAAGAAAGAGAGGCGTACCGTTCCTGCCCTGATGGTGTGAAACGAAACGGCGATTGAAGCAGGGGTCGGAGATCAGAGAGCTCCACCGCTTGCAGACGAGTTTACTCCGACAAGAGTGCCTTGGGTTCGGGAGGCGAATCAGAATTTCTACGAGGAGATCGTCTTCGAGGTCAGTGATCATGGTGGGAGGAGGGTTTACCTCGATATGATGCCGTTTTCTTCTGGAGGTGGAGATCCAACCCGAGGTGCGGTTCCCAGTCGCCATGGCGGGAGACAGAAAGTGATGGAGGACGCCGGCGGAGGAGAAGATAATGCGCGCGCAGTAGCCACTAGCCAGTACTGGGCGAGCGCCGAGCTGGGGAATATAGCAGAAAAGCCATAGATGTAACTTCCTAATCCAATTTATCTTCGAGGATTGTTATTTGCCGTCCGAGTATTTACTATTTGTCATCCATAATTTTATAAAAAGTGTTATTTTTACCCCTCCTCTATTTTTTATAGGCAAAATTCACTTCCATAGCCATAACTTTTCAGTTTGTGACAAATATAGCCAGATTCTGAGAAATACACAGAAATAGCCAAAAACTTAAAAATGCGTTGACAGTAATAGCCATTTCCGTTATTAAATTTGACGCCGTGAGGAACGCCGTTAATTACATGTTCGTTTAGCTGATGTGGCCGTTTTATGGACTCCACGTCGGCGCCAACAGGACAGAATTTGCCACCAAAGCGCCACGTCATCCGGAGGAGAGAGAATCGATTGGGGCAATTAAACCTTCTTCCAGCGACCGACTTCTCCATTCTGATTTTCGATTTCATCTCCTTCCTCCCAAAAACGCCGAAACCTTCTTCCATCTTCCTCGGCCCTCGCAGCGGCAGTGTCACTCCGGCGAAAACCCTCGACGCGGGTAACTGTGATTCCGATTCTCCCATCCCTCGGAAGTGTCAACCCTCGGCAGTGTGAACCCGCATCTCCCATCTATTCCTCCGATTCTCCCTCCGATTCTCCACATCCCCCGGCAGTGTCAACCCGCATCTCCCATCCCTAACGATGTCACAAAGGGGCAGTCGGGGTGCTCGCAAGAATGGCGGCGATTCGGGCTCAACCAGCGTCAAGAGTGGGTTTTCTTTCCTATGCGAACACAATGTCCCAGCTGTGATTAATACCTCTGGGACTGAGTTGAATCCAGGAAGGCAGTTCTATGGCTGTCGTTATTGGCGGGTAAGGTCATGGGACATTGTAATTGATGATTGTATTTGTTTGTTGTTTTGTTGGCTAAGGAGTGTCGATGGTTTGCAGGATGGGAAAGGTTGTAGATTTTTTAGGTGGGTGAATGGCAGTGAGGAGCCATTAGAGTCAAGGAACCATGAGATGGAGAATATTATTATGAATCTGGAAGAGAGACTAAGGCTGGCTGAATCCAATGCTGAGAAGAGGAAGAAGGAAAAAAAAGCTGCTGACAGAAGAATTACGGAATTGGTTGCAAGTTTGCCAAATTAGATTGGCTGAAGAGATCCGAATCATGAGATATATGTTGACTGTTTTGTTGATCATGAATGTGTTTTTGTTTGTGGTTCTGTGGAGGAAGGATTGTGGTATGTAGAAGTTGTTGTTTTGTTGATCATGTAAGTTGGGTATGTAGAAGTTATCGTTCATGTAACTTGTGTCGAACTTATAGTTGTGTCGAACTTATATTGGTATGTACGTTTGTCTACTTGAATTTGGTAACATTTTGGGTTTCACTATCTGTATTTGTGGACAAAAGAAGTGCACATTTTGCATTACATAACAAGAGCATAATCTGTTCACCCCACTTGGATACATCACATAAGCTGTTTTTTAACCCATAATAGATCATAACAAGTACATAACAAATGCATAACAAGTGCATATTTTGTCCACACCACTTGTTCACATAACTTAGCTACACTACACCTAACAGAAAGTGAGCAATCCTTAAGGCTTATACTAGCCATTACATGAGTCGACCAAAACAGCACCTAACAACCTACAACCTCTGTTGCTGGCCTGTACAAAAAATGACTCAAAAAGGTTGCTTTCATGACCCCCCTAAGGCTGAGTTGGTGGTGGCTGGCTTCCATGTAAGTCCACCACAGAAGCTTGGGCTAAAGGAACTGTTGGTTGATCTCCATGAGGGCGACCACGGTCACCATTCATCTGTAAATGTAAGAACAAACATTCGTAAGTTATGAGCACAACACTTGACAAACTAGTTTACCCTTACATTCATATTTGTAAACTCACCCTAACATATTGGTTCCCCGTGTGCTCATCGACATACACACCCACGCCAGCAGCTGCACGACGTATTTCCCTATCAATTGTAGCTCGATCTCCAACATTCAATCTCACGGCCTTATCAAAACCATATAGATCATAGTCATTCACCATTCTCACATCTCATCGACATATAGATCATAGTCATTCACCATTCAATCTCATGGCCTTATCAATTGTATTTCCCTATCAATTGACATGCTTACCTGTATCCCTAGGCCCTATTCAATGGACATGTCCTCACATTGTGGTCTGGTCGCCCACACTTGGAGCAATGTTTGGCACGTTTGGACCTGACATCCACAGCCGTTTCCTGGACAGCAGCTCTCTTCCCCCTTTGAGGAGCAGTGTTTACCTTCAAAACAATAGAAAATGAGCACATTACTGTAATATCGAAACACTAGCAAACTTACAGCTGAAGGTAGGTTAGAATTATACCCTTTCTTCTCGGGCAGCAGGAGGTGCTTTACAAGATCTCGCGTTGTGGCCTTCACCTCCACAATTTGAGCAACGGATCAAGTTACCTCGCCTACATACTTCCTCACCCACTCCTCCACGCTGTGGTCTCGTCTCTAACTCACCAGCGGACTTGTTTCTATTTTTTTTAGGGCGCCCAGGCATAGCTCTAGCCTTAGGTGGTGGACTTCATACCCTTCAGCAATTGGCCACGCTTGTCTACCAACAAGACAAGGCAGCCCTACCTTGTCCCTCTCAGACACGTGCATAGGTCGGTAAAGAGGGTGAACAAAATCATCTGGATTTTTCCTTAGGTGGCTGATCGCAGAAATAGCATGACAACACGGGATTCCACTCAGCTGCCAGTACCCACACGTGCATTCTTTTGCACTCAAATCCACAATATACCCTTCACCTCCCATCCTCACTTCACACTTATCATTTAAGGATTGTCTAGACACACACAACCTAGCAAACTCTTTGTCCTTCTCCAATCTTTTCCTAATTCTAGGACAAAGAGAATCAGTAGTCTCCATGAGCATCTTATGTTTAATAACCACCCTATCCATCATGTAACCCCTAATTCCTTCACACATATCTATTATGCGAAACCCCCTATACTTCACAATGCTACCATTCCATGTCTCGCAAATGTTAGACTCAACCGAATCACATTTGGGAGCTGTGGAGAGGAATGCTCGGCAGAATTTGCTTGGATCAGCAACCATGAAATCAGTGTATGGGGTGGATTCAGATCCATTACCTTGGATTTCTTCCATCTCAGTTGTGGCTTTCTTCCAATCCGGCTCGTTACAAGCATACACAGCCTTCCAAAACAGTTTCCTAACACGATCAGTCTTGTTTTTTGCTTTCCAATTGGCATACACATGTCTGGCACATTTTCGATGCTCAGCCTCGGGTAGGACTTCATGCAGGGCCTCAACCAAACCCTACATAGGAGGTAAAAAATAGCCAAAACAATTAGCGCCATATGAAACGTGTAACGGGAAGCACTTCACTAAAATAAGTAGCTACATTTACCTTCTGTTGATCCGAAATCACGGTCCATCCCCTACCATCTCTCATCGACAGCTCCTGAGTTACTAGCTGGACAAACCACATCCAAGATGAGGTATTCTCTCCTTCCACGACAGCCCATGCGATTGGAAACATTTGGTTGTTTCCATCTTTTCCAACAGCGGAAAGCAACATGCCCTTCACCTCGCCTTTGAGGAAGCAACCGTCTAACCCAAACATAGGTCTACATGCAAGCAAAAAGCCATCCCTCAAGCATGAGAATCCAATGAACAGCCTTCGAAAGTAACACTTATCACCATCTGGATGTGGATCTACTTCCAGAACAAATCTTCCATTCGGATCTCTTTTCATTAATTCTGCAACATAACTCCGGAGACCCTTGTATTCATCAACCAATGACCCGCTTAAAAGCTTAATAGCTGCAACTTTGGCTCTGTAACATGTCCTCTTCTTCACATCCATGTTGTGTTTAAGCTTGATCTCGGCCATAATCTGATCTGGTGCCCAAGTAGGGTTAATTCGGAACCTTTCAAGCATGTCAGAAGCTATCCAGTTGGCGGTTATTTGATTAACCCGGAGACTTCTTGCACATGAATGATCCAGCCCTACTTTCCGGATCATGAAGCACTTGTTTCTTCTGAACCAGCTTGCATAAAGTTTCCATTTGCAGTTGGGATCTTTGCACCTAACCTCCCTCCTCGTAGGGTTACTCCGAAGCCATCGAAGAGAAGCACCAGCTGCCACAGAATGCCTCACCACAGCATCTTTGAACTGCACCACACTAGCAAACTTCATCTTGCATACAAATCTCAAAGTTTTGTGATCACATGTGGGATCATAATGTGGTGCGCCATCGTCCAGATCACCACCTGCCTCGTCTGACAAGTTTGGCCTGACGTGAAGAGACTCCTCAGATCCTCTGTAGCTCGAATGCTGTGAAGTCTCTCTGTGATCTTGCTGAGGCTGCTGTGGAGGTGCCTCTGAAGCCTGGTGGGAAGTGGAGTGTTGTGAGTTATGAGGTGGTGGTGGAAAAGGATCATCTCCTTCATCCTCATCTACTTCAGTTTCATCGTCCTCATACTCCTCAAGCTGATCAACCTCCTCCCCATCGACAGCCAACCTAGCATTCACCTTCCTTCTCTTCCCTTCCCCATAGGAACGTAAGGCAGCCCTAGCTTCGTGGTACTCATCATCGGATGTCATGGCATCCTCAGAGTCGTAAACATGGTAAATGTCTCGTGCCACGGATGCGGCTGCATCACCATCTGCCTCCATTGATATATCTTCACCACCATTCTGATTAGGATCATTCTCATCCCAAGCATCTGACATCTGTGCAAATGAGGTTTAAGTCATTAGCTACTAAACTAAATCCCTAGGCTTAATTAAATAAGCTTAATTAGCTACTAAACTAAAGCCCTAATTAAATAAGCAATAGTATAAACAAATCACTACCAGACAAGCAACACACCAACATCCATTAAAGAAATCACGTTAGGTACTGACAATTTCAAAGCATTGAATTCGTCATGCTATATTGACGGTTCTATCCACATATTTCAGCTTCTTACCGTATGTTTTAGGGGCAATCTCGTGACAAACAGATTCGTGTGGTCCCTCCTTGTTCCGTCGCTTTTCAAACTTTACACCTTGGTTATTCCTATAAAGGAGCACTTTCGGATTAGGGTTCCCACCATTCACATCCGCCCACACAACCAGAGTTGAGAGTAACAGAAGCGAGGGGCAGAGGATGAGGCGAAGATTACTTACCGATAACAGCGATGGGGTCGAGCTTCGTTTCAGGGTTTTTTACCGGAATCGATAATTTCCACCCTCGTCTGACAAGATCGATTGAATCCCTTATCCCCTTCGCCGTCGACGACTGGAAGCTACGCCGGAGCTTGCTATTAAGCTGGTTGATGGTGAGTCGCCACCTCTGTGTTCGTCATTTTGAGATGGGTATGGAGGGAAGTTCGATTACCAGATGATAGAGGCGAGAGGACACGTCGACCAAGGCGAGATCACCGGATGACTGTGTTGGTCAATTCACAGTCACCGGCGAAGACAATCGAGGTCGAGGTCGAGGTGAGTTCGTCGATTTAGGGTTTCTGCTGGGTTCGCGAAGAGAAATGGAGAAGGAAGAAAGAGGTCTGTTGGGTCTCTTCGCGAAAAAAGGTAAATGGTTTGGTAAAGTAGACCGAATTAATGGTTTGGTAAGGTTTGGTAAAGTAGACCGAATTAATGGTTTGGTAAAGTAGGGTAAAAAAAAATTAGGGTAATTATTTCATTTCCACCGTGGCATACACGTAGACCGAATTAAACGTGGCCATTTGGGTTCGTTTGTCCAGTCAGCAGGCGTTATGTCTTCTGTTACATTATTGGACGGAATGGCTATTTCTGTGTATTTCTCAGAATCTGGCTATATTTGTCACAAACTGAAAAGTTATGGCTATGGAAGTGAATTTTGCCTTTTTTATAACACAAAGCCTCATCCACCACCGGTAGACCACCATCGCCGTCCACACCAAACCACCGTCGCCGCCACCAAATCCTCCTTTAAGAATCTGAAATAATTCACACACCACTACATGAAAGATAAATACTTTAAATAACCTTCTTAGTTCATGAAAAATATCTACCACCATGCCAACTAATCATCTCCTTTCCTTCTAACTCATAGATGATAATGTATTTCTTACGTGATCCATCTTATTCTTGCTCGCCTTTCAACATCTTCGGCTTATTCCAAGAGACAAACGGTTGAATTCCACCATTAGGTTGGCCTTCAATTGATCTAGAAATCAAATCAATCATAGCAAATTACGATATGTGAGATACGGTATGAAATCGGGTCACAAAAAATAATATTGTGCGACATTAATCCCTTCATTCAAGTTAAGTTTTTAATAGAACAATTTTTTTAGTAAAAATAACAAAATTCTCAGGCAAATTAGCCAGAAGGGATGTGTTTTCGTTTCATAAAAAAGGCAGTTTAAACAAACACACTTGTCAACTTAATGAGTACCTTTTATGAAAGGAGTGTCGATTTCGTTGTTGCCCTGTACCCAACAGCTATAGCTTCCATCGTACATATCTCGTAGCACCTGATACCTTGGAATCGGAGTGTACCAACAATAAACCTTAGATTGGAACATTCTCCAACGAAGAAAATATTGCAGCTTAGACACGAACTCTATCTCTCCCCCTGCCCCCAAATTGCAGGACAATTGACCACCTTCAGGACCAGAATCCAAATGCTGGAAGAAGACAATTTCTGGTTTCTCTGGATGGAGAGCAGCTACAAAACACATGCCCGGGAGTTTAAAATTACCCAGCCTTACTGGCCCTTCACATACTTTCCTCCAAATTGTACCATCTCCATCATCCAGTCTCCAAACACTCAAGACCATCCCCGCACAAAATGTGAGCGCTGTGCCATGATCTTCGTACACAATCATGTGCAGAGCACCCTTCGACACAGAAATATTCCAGCTGCACTGTTGTTTGTCAAAGAGCGGGGTGGCAACATCGATTGGAGTGGGAGGTGCATCGAGGCGGAAAGGATTGATAGCCACAACACATGGTGCCTCTTTATTTTGTGCTCTAAGATATGGCAGAAAAACAGCCCCATTGCACGAGACGACATCGATCCTTGGAGGTTTGAGAATGCCATCAAGAACAAGAGCCTCCTTCATCCATTCCCCGATCTCGGAACAGAACACGTCTAACTTGGTAGAGTTGCTGTGCTGATACATACACACCACCCGGAACCGATAGTCGGAGCTATGAGCAAATGCTTGGCCATCACCAAGATCAAGATTGATGTTAGAATCACAAACTAAGCTCGGAACCAAGCTCTTGTACCCAGCCGGTCTTTCAGGCGCCAGAGGAAGGGCTACCCACTGCTTCGTGAATGGATTGCACAGCAAGTACGATCTGAAGATTTCGTCATGGGAAAGGATCTCACCTGCTTCCGCAAACCCGCATAAAAGCAAGTCGTCCAAGGAGTCGAAAACCATGAAATGCCGTGGGCGGCCGAGTCTGTTGGCACTAGGAGCGGGCGTCGGGAGGAAGCCCCGGATGACCGATTCCGGGTCGTTGGAGGCGAGAAGGATAGGGGGTTTTGGTTCGTTGATGCTCTGATGGTGCGAAACGAAACGGCGGTTGAAACGGGGGCTGGAGATCACGGTTTTCCACCTCTTGCAGACAGATTTGCTCCGGCAGGCGGACCTAGGGTTCGGGAAGCTGAGGATCAGAATCTCCACGAGAAGGTCGTCTCCCAAGTTGCTTATCGTCATCGGAGATTGACAGACAGGGCAGACGAGGTTTACTTTCAGAAATCAGCTACCGACGATTGTACATATATATATATATATATAGAGTATGGAGCTGCAAATCACCAATCCCTAATGGAAAAAGGACACCTATGCTATGATTGAAACGGAAAAGGATTCCAATGGAAGAAATTTGGGTGCGTATTTTGGCTCAAGATAGGTGGGTTATGCACCCATCAATAACCAAATCTGGACCCTTCATTTAGAAAATCCAGATCTAAGGATGGAGAATTAAAAGCTATTTTTATTTTCACTAGTTTTCTTAATTGACTCATATCTTTTTCGTTTTAACTCGATTTTAATTTTTTTTGCACAGATGGAACGAGTTCATCGTGCTCTACAAAATGAGATCAATTTTCAATATTTTTTGAGGAAAAAAAAATTCTAGCCTCTCGGTACCAACTGCATACCATATGGTATTTTCTTCGTTTTTCATTCGTTTTTGAAAACGTTTGCACAGCAGGGACGAGTTCATCATGATCTATTGGATCTACAAATTTCTGGGTGAACAAATTACAAGACCAAAAAATACCACACAATACCATACAATACCACCCTGGTACGGGGTGGTATTTTATGGTATACAATGTTAAAAGTCGTAAATGACAATTAATATACTTCTACTATCATGTATTCAATCATCCTACAGTCTTGGTTTGTTCATACCACCATGGTACGCTTTTGAACCCATAGGTATGCTCTTATTTCAATACCAGTCAATACCATATGGTATAGACTGGTAAAAAATGGCTCAATTTTTTTTGTTCGAAAAATATATAAAAGTGGATATCATTTTGAAGAGCACAATTAATCTGATCTAACTGTGCAAAAAAAATTAAATTTCGACTTAAAACGAGTGAGAAATCGTCCGTCAAAATTAAGGAGGGGAAAATTAAAGGCTTTCCAGGAGAGAGAGGATGCTGATGTCATGCTGATGTGGGCGGGTTACTCATAGTTACTCACCATAAAGTTACTGACCTAATCCATTCCCGCGTATTTTCTCAGCAGCATTTACATTTTTTTCTACTCCCGCCGTCGTCGTATAAGAAGTTGTAAAAATCCTGAAGCACGATAATAAAATTTTAGGTACTGAAATGTAATTTTCCATAAATATTTTGTGAATCTATATGCAAAAAAGATAAATTTAGATACATATTAAGTTTATGTACCAAACTGTAATTTGCAAACCCAAATCCATGAACTAAGAACCCATACGGCCGCCGCTAACTTGATCACTCACCGTGACACTAATCCTATACAGTCAGCTCTAGGACTAGAAGTGACAACCATCCGGTTCACATCAGATTGAATCATAGGGGAATGAATCAGTTTGGATCGTATATATTTCAATTTGATATTGATTTTATGAATTATATGAAGTTTGAAGAGAAAACATACCGAAATTTAATTTGAACCAGATCAAATCGAACCAAGTGAACCAAACATGCTTTTTGTCCGATTTTGGTCCTCGCTTTTCATTTGTTTTTGGCCCGATTCTATCTCGATTAGGTCTGGTTCGGGAGAATTTATCAGATGAACGGCTTGAGTTCAAGTCCTTAAGCCTCATTTCTTAAGAAAAATCTTAAAGTCTTCCTATTGGTTGATAATGGATTAGGTAGTTAATGGGGGTTAGTAGTTAATAGGTAGTTAAGAGTAAATAGAGTTATGTAAATATAATTAATTAATTAATTAATGATTCTCTTTCTCTCTCCTCCCATGATTTTCTCCATAACCCTCTCTACATTATAATTAAAAAGAAATATGAAATTTATTTTATTTAATATTTAATAAAATCCGAATTTAATAATTTTCTTTTTCTAAAATGGAAATTTAAAATTTAAAATATATGCCTCTCTCACATCTTGGCAACTTCCTATTAGTATTAAGTATTAACATTTTGTAATGACATTATCAATATTTATAAATTGAATCATCATTAGGGCTTTTCATTGCATGGGTTTGAGATTTTTCGTTGTTAGGTATTCGTTTGTGTTATTATTAATGTTGTTCCACATATTTTTTAATAATTTTATATGACATTATTAACTTTTTATGTTATGTTTTGTTTGTAACATTAGCAAAAGTGAAATTGTGTTTTCAATTTGTTGGTACTTGAAGTTTATTTACTATTACATCGTATTATCAATTTGGTTCGCAATGATTTATAATCATTTGAAGTGCTATTATCAATGTTTTTTTTCCAAGCACAATACAACCATTAGCAAAATTTTATTTCATTTGTAAGATTGCTTATGTTTAGTGATTTGAATTATTAATATTTTTCGTTTATGTTTGTAACTTTGTCAAATGTCATTATCAAGAAGCATACTTGTTAGATATTACGTTTAATTATATAACTATGGTTATTAATCTTTCAGTCTAAGTTAGTAACGTAGTTGGTGTCATTATTAATAGGCGTGTAGAAGCATTATCAATGTTTGAAAATAAGATATTAATAATATCTAATAAGGTACTTAACAATCAATAGTTGCTATCATTATCAAAGTTTTTGGATGCATTATCCATTAAACACATGTTACTTATTAATGCGTTTTTACTGCTATTTGACATTAAACATTGCATCTGAATATTATTAATATTTTTTTATTACAAAAATCTATTTCCTTATCAGTGACTTGATCATTCGATATTAATGGTTTTTTATATCGTTATCAATGATTTATTGTATTGTTATTAAGAGTTTGGTCAAGCGTGAATGTTGGTTTGCTTGAGCTAATATTTTTCTGGACAATGTTTGTTTGACTGAATCACACAGGTGCACTATATCACAAGTACCCAAGATGTTGAAAATTAGCATTGTGCTTTATGATCATTGAGAATGATAATGTAAAGCAATATTAATTGATCATAAAACGTTAATAATGTCAATAGAAATCATTGGAAGAGGCCATGACTAGATAGTTATAAACATGATGTGAAAATGTGAATCATTAGTACTAAAGATGTTGTAGATCAATGATATTGTTATTCAAACTATTAATGACTATGTTACATAACTTTAATGATTCATTTATAGGCGTTGATGACGAAACTATAAAACATTAACAATTGATCCAAAATTGTTAATAATGTAATTGTAAGGAATTGATAAGTATATTGAAGTCGTTAATAATGATGAGGTATAATAATAACGATTCATTTCATAAATGTTGATAATGTCATTGCAAAATGTTAATGATATAATTGTAAGGAATTGATAAGTATATTGAAGTTGTTAATAATGATGAGGTATAATAATAACAATTCATTTCATAAATGTTGATAATGGCATTGCAAATATTAATATTCTATTGCAAGTTGCCACGTAGTGAGAGAGAGCATATATTTTTAATTTTCAATTTTCATTTTAAAAAATAAAAAATATTAAGTTCGAATTTATTAAATATTAAATAATAATATTTAATTTAATTAATTTCGAATTTCCTTTTAATTGTAGTGGAGAGAGAGGGTTATGGAGAAGATCAAGGGGGAGAGAGAAAGAGAATCATTAATGAGTAATATTAATTATATTTTCATAATATCTTATTTATTTCAACTAATTATTAACTACTAACCCCTCATTAACTACCTAATATAGTATCAGCCAATAAAAATAGTTTAAGAACCTCCTTAAACAATGAGGCTTAAAGACCGGATCCAACCCGCAGATGAACTGAAAAAAATCAAGGAGGAAAAGACGGGGAAAACGTGGCATATGGTTTCGAGGCTACTTTTGGGCTAGACGCACTTTTCACAACCCTTAATCATGTAACCGAGCACAAAGGCATAAGAAATTGTCTCATAGTAAAGACAGAATTTTTAGAAGGGATATATATGGCTTCGGCCACTTTGACCTTAAGCAAGGCCAAGTATCGAAACCACCAACACTCAACAGTTACATACAATAATTACAACAAGAGATCAAAGAAAAGGAATTGATATCATGATTTTCCCAAACACAGAAAGCAGAAGCAAGAACAAGGCAGCTGTGAGGATGTGGGCAGAAAGCAGAGAAAACTTCAGCCAGTGAAAAGGAGGTTGCTAAGCTGCACCCAACCATATGCACACCTATCCCTCATTTTCTCAACTGTTGATACTGCAGCCTCCACTACTCCTCTGACCTTGTTCAGCTCTTCCTCCATTCCCATTCTCTTGGTCAATTCCATCTGCTGCACCTGTTCAACATCAACCAACCAAAACCCCACTCTTAATAACATCATTCCATCTGATTCAATAGCATTTGCATTTGCCGATCGCCTCTAGTTGATCAACTAAACAAGTTACTCTATTATGAATTTCGCATTCTACTTCTTTCTCTTCCATCAAACTCCAAGTTATTCTCGGAGTCAATTTATTCGTTTCACACCACATCGCACAGTGCCCTCGTTCCAGAAGGAAATAGAAAGACTTTACCTTTTGAAGGCCGCGCTCTGTGTCGAGTACATAGCAGAAGTATGAAAGTTGTTTGTACAGATCTCCTTCAGTGTACTGATTCATAATATAACAAAACAAACAAGGGCCACACTTGTCACTACCAAAGTATTTTCGAAGGTTTAGTATCACTGCATTTCATTCCACGAACTAAATTGGGTTCCAAGTAATACTACCTTCCTCACAAGCCGCCCATTGCACCTGGGATAGTTTGGACAAACGGTTCCTCTCTCTGAGTCCCCAACCAACCGCAAGTTCACGCTCCGCGTTGTATGCTTGCAACTTTCATCATCACACTGAACCCAGCAAAACAAATCCATCATGAACCATTGACAACAGATGTAACATATCAACATTGCCAAATAGAAAGAAAAGATTTAGTGCATTACCATCATTACGCCCTTATAGTACATAGAAACAAATCTCTCCGCTTGCCTTCTAACCTGAAACCGAAAACAATAAGACAAGGTAAAACATACGTAAGTATGCACTGAACTTGATTACGATGTACCAGGGAACAGCTAATATATGTA